ACACACACACACACACACACACACACACACACACACACACACACACACACACACACATGGACATTCGCCTCACGTAGAATATTTCTATACAACTTTGACATTATGTGTATAGATTTCGGTTAATTTCTGTAACAATAGAATATATATATATATATATATATATAATATATATATATATATATATATATATATATATATATATATATATATATATATATATATAATATAGTATGTTTCTATACAACTATATGTGTGTAGATTTTAATGTGTCAACATCAGTGATGGAAAGGAGACATTACAAATAAGAATGTTTCAGTCGATCATAAATTACGTATGGAAATTCTACCATGAACACAGGATTTATGTTAAATGAAGCACTGGGAACTCATCTGTATCACTTTTCATGAAAAAAATGAATAATTTAATTTCAGTGTCACACACACACACACACACACACACACACACACACACACACACACACACACACACACACACACACACACACACACACATACACACACACACACACACACACACACACACACACACACACACACACACACACACACTCACACACACACACTCACACACACACACACACTCATTCACTCACTCACTCAAACACACACACACACATACACACACACAAATTTGATAACATGTGAACACTCAGCAGAATGAAACTTACCTATAGATAGATAAATAGATGAATAAACACAGTAATTACTTTCGAATATAAGCTAATTGCAAGCTCGATTCTCAGTGTTAGATAAAGTGTAGTAAAGACGCAGATATCATTTTCCCCTTATTCATCTATTCACGATACATTCACTCATTCATATCTAATGAAAAAAAAGGAAAACGGACACAGTCTCAGGTTTTTACACAAATTATTTTAAATATGCATTAACATTCTACGTAATGTTTTACCTGTTGTTAGGTGTCGTCTGGAATTCACTTAAACACTTAATGATAATGATGATAACATTGATGATGATGATAATGATAATAATGATAATAATAACAACAACAACAACAACAACAATAATAATAATAATAATAATAATAATAATAATAATAATAATAATAATAATAATAATAATAATAATGATAATGATAATGATAATGATAATGATAATGATCATTATAATAATAATAATAATAACAACAACAACAACAACAACAACAACAACAATAATAATAATAACCATAATGATAAAAATTATGGTAAGGATAATGATTATGATATTGATATTATCGGCAATGATTACAGTAATTATAACAGCAAAAATATTAATAGCAATAATGATAATAATAATGTTAACAGAAATGATAATGATAATGATAATGATGATGATGATGATAATAATAATGGTGATAATAATAATGATAATAATAATGATATGAATAATAATGTAAAAATAGTAATAACAATAATACTGATAATAAGGCGAAAAAAATATAATATACTACTAGTACTACTACTATGATAATGAAAACGAAAAAAATAATGGTAATAATAATAGTACATGTAATAGTAATAATGATAAAAATATTAATGAAAATAAAAATAATAATAGTAACAATGGCAATAATAATGCTAATGCTAATGATAATGATACTAATAGCAATGTGAATGATGATAATGGTAGCATTAACAATCATAATAATAGCAATAATAATAATGATAGTACTAATAATTATAATAGTAATAGTAATGATAATAACAATAATAATACTGGTAATGATAACAATAATAATACTGGTAATGATATCAATAATAATAATGATAATAATAATAATATAATAATAATGATAATAATGATAATAATAATAATGATATTCATGATAATTATAATCAATTACAATGATAATATCAATAATGATAGTAAGGATGATACTAATGGTAATGAAAATAATAATAACATTGATGATAAAAGTAATAATGATAATGATAATAATAGTAATACTAATGATGATAAAATGATAATAGCATTATGTATTGAAAAAATATAAAAAGAATAATGATAATGAAAATAGAAACAATAATAATGATGATGAAAATAATAAAAATAATAACAATAATAATGATAACAATAATGATAACAATGGTGAAAATAACAATAATAATCATAATAGTAATGATAATAACAATAATAATAATAATTATTATTATTATGATAATGATAATAATGATAATATCAATGATAATGATGATGATGATACTGAAAGTAATAATAATAATGATACTAATAATAGTAACGATAATGATAATGATGATGATAATAAATATTATAATAATTATAATGATAATAATAATAATAATAATAATAATAATAATAATAATAATAATAATAATGATAATAATAATTATAATAATAATGAGAATAATAATATCAATAAAAGTTGTAATAATGATAATGATAATGATAGAGATGATAATAATAATAAAGATAATAATAATATTAATAATGGTGACGCCAGCAGCAATACTACAACACCACTATTACTACTAATAAAAATGATAATAATGGTTACAATGATAATGATATCAATGATAATAATAAAAGTATAATTATGATTATAATGATAATGATAATGATGATAATAGTAATTCTAACAATTACAGTAATAATGATAATAATAATGATGATAATACCAACAACAACAACAGCAATAGCAATGATCATAATATTAGTAGTAACAGTAGTAGTAGTAGTAGTTGTAATGATAATAATGATGATAATAATGATGATGAACGAATAGTGATAATAATAAAAAAAATTATAAAAATAATTGCCACAATAATAATATAATAATTATAATAATATAATAATTAATAATAATAATAATAATAATAATAATAATAATAATAATAATAATAATAATAATAATAATAATAATAATAATGAAAATTATAATAATAATAAGGATAAAAGTAATAATTACAATAATTGCGGTAATGATAATAACAATAATTATGATAACAATTACAATAACAATGG